TTCAAGGATTTTTTTCAGATTCTCATTTGGTAGCATTCGATATGACCCATAGGCCAATAGGAGTGCTCACTGGAACTCACTGAGCCAAAACTCTCATGATGCTTTGAATCTGATAGAATATGAACACTGCTAAGGCAAGAACTAAGTTTTAGTTATTTCTCAATCTTTTTGACAAGCATGTAGTAGACACTCACTGCTTGTAGAATAAATAGATGCAGAAGTCAAATAATAAAACATTATTCTTACAATTTTCATTTTACAAAGTTCAGTAGTAAAATATTGAGTGGTAGATTGTTATAAATGTGCAGCTCACACTTCCTACAACTTATAGACCTGATGCCGCATCCTCTTCCTTAATGTTTCCAACCCACTTGGTGAAACTGGGGTTGGCAGAACGGGAGACACACTCTGATTTTGTCATGGAAGTCCAAGAAAACATGGACTTCACGTAAAAGACACTCACTCCATTAAATGAGGGAGGACTAATTCACTAGAATTTTTAATAACTTGACTGTAGTTGAAAAACTTTAACCAGATACACTATATCATTCAATCTTATCTTTCTGTTGAGTGACTCCTGTGAGTATACTGAATACTGAAAGTTTTAGACAACTGAACCGTCTAAACATAGAATGACATTTTCCCACCACCAATTATGCTTGTAAAACCACACTCACATCATTTGCCCTAAATAAAGAAAGTAAAAAAGACATTAAAGAACATAGAAGTGGAGGCTTCTGCTGGTTTATAGCTGGTAAAAGAAGAAAAAAGAAAGAAAAAAGGAGGAGATCAATAGGTGTACACCCAAACTTTTCAAGTCCAGTTTAATTCAGTGACTACATTATTCTCCGCAAGCAACCAGAGACTTTATAGGCAGAGCAAGGCATAGTACATTTCAACTTATCCACATTATAATAGACAATAAATAAATATAAAATAAAAATAAAATATATGGAGCTTCTTTCAAATTAGGATAACCCTCAAAAATAGGTTCAAAACAACTTAGCTTTGACAAGAGTAATAAATGTCTATAGTCTAAGGAAAATCAGGGCAAGTCAGGATAAAAAGAAATTTAAGAAGGCAAAATAAATTACACATATATCAGTTACAAAAAATATGGCAAAAACAGAAGATAAAAAATGATGAATAGAAATCTAAGTAACTATTGAGATGTATATTTTTAAAGTTTTTTAAAGTGCAAAATATAAGCAGAACATGTAGCAGCTAGGATTACACTCGCAATAAATCAGACACATTTGATCATCATATCTTATTTTAAGTTTCATCACTTAAAAGAAATGAGAAAATTTGCAAAATACTTAGAGACATTCCAAAGACATTAAGGATTACAAAGAGGACTTCTAAGGAATAATATATTAAATGGCCAATTTTAGAAAAAAGAAAGATTCTTATTAATCCATGCATAGCCTTTATTTTCATGGATAGTGAAAGAGTTATAACTGCAAGAAAGGGTGTATAGGAAAAGAAAGTCTCATGTTGCAAAGTAGAAAATCCTAAGAGAAAAGATCATCAAATATCAGACTTGACTCTCAAGGACGATGGCGCAATTGCCAGCCTTTAAAGAAGGGATTATCATTTGGCTAATGTCCATCAGGTCTTGCCTGAAGGCAGTGGAATAAAGTGAATGACATAAAAAGACACCTTGTACTTTTATAATGGGTAACAAAACAGCGATTAGACCAGGAAATCAGGTGCCAGTATTAATTACATAACTTAAATAACCATATGTTATCGGGGTAAGTAAAATTTTCTATACTAAGGGCTGGAAATAACATATGAAAAAGAAGTAGTTGAAAATTAGAGGTCTATGCTCATTACTCAGGATCTGAGCAAATTAGAAACCTTACATTAATACAATAATATGGTTTCAGTTAAGAATGGGCCATTAGTTCGAGAAAGTAATTTAATCATTCATTTGTATTCCCTAAATGATTTTGTTAAACGATCATGGCTGGCCTACCCCTTTCAGGGTATTCCCATTAGAATTTTAGGAGTTCTTTAATCCAATCTACAGCTTCCAGGTTAAAAATCCACCAAAGTCACAAAAACTTAATGAAGGAGAGAAACAAGTTCAATGTAGGTGGGACAGGCCAGAAAGTCAGGGAAGCTCAAGGAAAGGCAACTCAGAAGAAAAGAGGTCGAAGACGTGTTAAAAGACTAGATTTCCAAAATAGCCTTTCCAAAAATAGGCTTGACAAGACCTATGTTCTGGGGGGGAAAAAAATTAAGATTTTTTTACTTTTTTTATACTGTTGATTTTAATATTTACAATTATGATTCAGAACAAAAACTTTGTGCATATTCAGCAATTTGAAATCATGACTGATGCAGCATTATAATCATATTAAAGCCACTGCGGTAGGAATTATAGAATATAAAAGTATGGATATACTGAATATTTTTAGAGTATGCTGTGGAGTATTAATGTTTGAACACATAATAAATTCCCAGAGCTATCTTCCCTAAAATGTTTATAGTCAAGGAGTTACTAAGTTTCAAAAAGCACTTTCTGTAATAGACTGCTCTTTTTCAAAGCAAATGCTGCAGACTCTCTTGTCAATCAATTTAATAACAGTAATTCAAAAAGAAGCAAACCCTTGGTCACTTGCTAAAAAAGAAAAGATAAGCTTAAAACTCAGAAGATGGAGTCCTCAACTTACAACACAATGTCATATATATATATATATATATTCTTTCTATTTATTTTATTTGAACTAAATGTTCAGAAATGGGCTCTAAAAATGAACAGAACTTTAAAAAAAATAATATGGGTCATGTTCTGGTAACTTTCAGGTGGAAAATTGAAAGAGAAAATAGATCACAACCAGAGTCTTGATTCATTTTACAGAACCTAAAAAGTTGAGCATTATTTTTTATAATTTCCTTACTTTTTTCCCTCCTCTTCTTCCTCTAGGCTATCTATCAGAATTGAGCACTTAAAAGTACTTTCATATTCACCGACCCAATAAGATTGCATTAAATTTATGACTCTGTAGATAAATTCTAAAATGCTAGTTTTAAAACTCAAAGAGAAATCATCTTACAAAAACATTACCAAAATACAGATTTTACTATCTTGGATTTTTTATGTTTTCAATTTTATTTTTATAGCTCTATTATATTAAAGTATAAATGAAAAACTGCACGTATTCAAAATGGATAATTTAATGAATTTTTACATACGTGCACATCCATGAAACCATCACCACAATCCGGATAATAAATATTTGTTACCCCACACTTTGTAATCCATCATGTTTTGCTTCTACTCCCCACCCCCATTCCCAGATAACCACAGATATGCATCTGCCATATGGTTTAGTTTGTTTACATTTTCCAGACTTTTATATAAATGGAATCATACACTTTCCCTCTTGTTTTTAAATCTGGCATCTTTCACTCAGCACAGTTCTTTTGAGATTCAGCCATGTTAAATATGTATCAATACTGTCAGTAGTTTTTTCTTTTATATTGCTGAGTAATGTTCTGTGTGGATAATATCACAATTTGCTTATCCTTTCTTCTGTAAGTTGGCTTTCAAGTTGTTTCTAGTCTGGGTCATTTACCACAAATGTGTCTACGAATTCTTATGTACAAGTTTTTGTTTGGGCACAGACTTTCTTTTCTCTTAGGCAAATTTCTATGAGTGCTGTGGTTGGGTCATATAAGAAGTGTATGTTTAACTTCTTAAGAAAGTGTCAAACTATTCTGCCAAGTGTTTTGTTTTGTTTTTTACCATTTTGCATCTGCAATGGCAAACATTAGTGTTCCACTCACTGCACATACCTGGCAACACTTGGTGTGTTGTCTTTTTAATGTCAACCATTACAGTAGGTGTGTGATGGTGTCCCCTTGTGGTTTAATTTACATTTCCGCAATGACTAATAAGAGGGCATATCTTTTGTGGAGTTGTTCGCCATTCATATAAACTTGTTTCTCCTTTTGTTTTGTGGTTTTTATTTTAATTAAAATAAAACTAACTCTTTTTAGTATATAGTTTGTTTTTAATTTTTAGAGTCACGCAACACTACCATGATGACGATACAGAATAGCTCCACTCACCCAAGAATAGCTCCACTCACCCAAGAATGCTCTCATGCTGCCTCTTTATAGTCAAGCCCTCCCACCAGCCTCGAGCCACCGTAATCACAGGTCTTTGTAGTTTTTGTTTTTTTTTCCCAAAATGTCACTTAAATGGAATCAATATGTAGCTTTTGAGCTAGGCTTCTCCCACTCAACATGATGTATTTAAAATTCATCCTGTTGTATCAATAGCTGAGTAGTGTTTCATTGCATCGATGTAACAAATTTTTATTATCCATTCACTAGGTGAAGAATATCTGTGCTCTTTCTAACTTTTGGCAGTTACAATTAAAGTACTCTCAACTCTTAATAAAAATAGGCAAAATATTTACTCACTTCACTAAAGAAGATATACAAATGACAAATACACGGAAAGATGCTTTATAGCAACTAGAGAAAGTCAAATTAAAATCACAATGGAACACTAATACTTAGCTATTGCAATGACTGAAATTAGGAAGACTGATTACACCAAGTATTGATAGAGCTGTGGACCAAATGCAACTCTCATATTTCTACTGAGAAACATGAAATGATACAACCAGTTTGGAAAACAGTTTAGTCAAGAGAAAAGCAAACATATTTCTATACACAGTCCTGTATATGGATGTCCATAGCAGCTTTCCTTGTAGAATTACTATATATAAAAAAAAAGCAACCAAAATATCCATTGTGAGGTGAAGAGATAAACACAGTGTGGTTCCACTATTCCAGTGGAGTCACCAAAGTATAAAATAGTCACTTTTTAAAATGCAGGCATAATACTTAAGAACTAAAGAGAATATTATATAAGGTCTACATATCACCCCACTCTATCTAATTGATGAAGTAGAGTTATATAAAGTAGAGTCATATCCTCTTAACTATAAAAGGAAATAAGAGGTTCAGTATCTTACCTATGTATTTGTATCCTTCTTCCCCATTCACAATGGGCCTCAGCCAAGTTGACCTAAGTCGCATATTATTCTTCACATGGGCACCTTGAGGAGGATAGAGTGTAAATAACATTTCAATTGCATTGGACTTCTTGATGAGTTCAGAATATTTTTCACGGTCTTCTGTAAAAAAACAAATATTAAAAATTTTTAAATTTTAGAAATTTTTATAAAATGTCCAATGTGTTTCTTTTAAGAGATGTAAACTAAAACTCCTTAATAATTTGAATATTGATTATGTTGACAATGTGGGTTTTCTTTAGCCAAAGTTACTTCACCAAAAATCTTATTGTTCAGATAATTCCTAGCAAAAATTAAGTAAGGGTTTTACTAACAGCATCTTCAAACACTATAAATTAAAGTAATATTGTTAGTAGCCATAGGAAAAAAAGTAAGATACAAATGAACAGTATTTACATTTTACATCCTACTGCATATCCATATATATTTTGAAATTGCCATTAAATGATGAAATCAGAATAACCAGCCCTCCAAAAAATGTTGAGCAAATGTACAGACCCATAAAATGAAATTGCTGAAAGAATTAATATTCCTAGACTATGATCTTGTAATGCATATACAAATATTTATATAGCACTTACTGTACACAAGGGATTTTTCCAAGTGTTTTAAAACATCAACACATTTAATTTTTAAAGCACATCACTAAGGTAGATCCTATTATTATTTCTATTTCACATGAAGAACTTGAGGCCCAGAGAAATCAAATAACTTGCCTACGTCTTTCAATATGTAAATGTTGCAATTAGGATTTGGATTATCTAAGGAAGCTCTTATTTGAAAAGAGAAGCTTGTCAACTAAATATGACCGGCATTAACAAGTAGATAGGAAAACTGACCCTGGCTGGTGTGGCTCAGTGGACTGAGTGCAATTGATTCCCAGTCAGGGCACCTGCCTGGGTTGTGGGCCAGGTCCTCACCCTGGGGGCGTGCCATCAGCAACCCACGGGGGCCAGGGCCCAGGTGGAGGAGAGCCATCAGCAACCGCTGGCTGTTTCCCTCTCACACATGGATGTTTCTCTCCCTCTCTTCCTCCTTCCCTTACCCTATTTCTAAAAATAAATAAGTAAACTCTAAAAAATAATAATAATATTTGGTTACTCTTTTAATTTGCCAACTCTAATCCTATATGCAGTTTTTATTCTCCCACATTCCCCAAGAACCAAATAGGACATAAGTAGTTAACAGGACATTTTGTAGCAGATGATTCTTAGATATGTAAAATATTTTCTATTAAAAATAACAGACTGAGTACCTACTTTCAAAAAATAAAAGGATATTAATAATTAGGAAATAGATAAAGTTGTCAGATTTACATTTTAAGATGATAAAAAGAAAAATCTCATCTATTATTATACTTGTTCCTTTCTAAAATTGTGTTTAAAAGATATTTTAACACTAAAAATGCATGAACAACACAATCTCAGATGAAAGAACAGTACTACACATCAAATGATGAAAACCTTGAGTTTATAGGTTTGTTGAAAGTGTCCGTTTCTTTCTAAGAAGTCTTCCCTCAACACAAATTGTAGCAGATGCAACACTTCCAAAGGGTATGTGTGTAAGTTGTTAAGTTTAGGACCAGTACTAAGTATTCGGTTGGCCAAAAAGTTCCTTTGTTTTTTTTTCCATAAGATGGCTCCAGCAGCACATATTTGTGTTTAACTTCATTTGAAACAATTTTGTTAGATTGTATTGCAACAGCTGTCATATCAGCATGCATTAAAAGAACTTATTAAAATTGGTGAATTTTTGTGAATTTTAATATTGAAGAAGGAAGAAAATATGCATCATTTTCAGCATATTATGCTTTATTATTTCAAGAAAGTTAAAAACAGAACTGAAACTCCCAAAAAGATTTGTGCAGTGTATGGAGAAGGTGTTGTGACTGATGGAATGTGTGAAAAGTGGTTTGCAAAGTTTCATGCTAGAGATTTCTCTTTGGACAATGCTCCACAGTCGGATAGACCAGTTGAAGTTGATAATAATCAAATTGAGAGATGAATTGAGAACAATCAATGTTGTAATATACAGGAAATAGCTGATATACTCTATTAAAATGCTAATTTTAATGATAATATTAAATCAGCATTTAATTAAACTGCTAATATTTTATGCTCATTAAATAAAATTAGTATGTCAATGATAATATCCAAATCAATAAAGTTACTGATGAAAATGAAAACTGTCTTTTATTTTATGGAAAAATCCACATGGACTTTGTGGCCATCCCAATACATCAGGAAGAGTTAGGTGGGTAACAAATTTTCACTAGCGATCCTGAATTATTAAACCAGAGTGGTAGGCCTTGTCACTGAAGTTAATTATTAACAAGTATTTAAAAGTATAGGTAGAAATACTCTAATCTTTTACCTTAATCTATTAACTTACTACACTATTATGTAACTAAATGTATCCCAAAGTAAAAATATACTTTAGAATCTTCATAAAAACACAAGGTTTACAGGCTGAAAACAATGGTGACAAATAATAGAGGTTTTCTTCCATTTTTAATATTATGCATTCATTAAAATGCTAACTTATCTCTCATGGGCCACTGATTAATCACATGAGGACTTCAGTATGTAGTTTTGAACCGATGGTTTATAATCTAGAACCTACTATCAATAACCAATTTTGAAATGTTGTACCTTTAATATCTTTTCACGGTTTAGTTAGAGCATTTTATGCTGTATTTATTTTCTTTGATTTGAAATAAGTGAATGTCACACTTTTTGTCATGCCATTTTTATCAGAGCTTTTTCTATTTATTAGTAAATGTAAAAGGATACCAATTCATCAGTATGAAAAATTATATTTGTCTTGAACAAAGGAAAGTGAATCTATAGCATCCCCATGTCAACATTAATGAAATTTTCTTTTTTAAAGATCATTGAAGAAGGAGGGAAACACTGAGATTCAAAACCAAAGGGCATTATGATTAAGAAGGCAGTTAATAGTATGCCGCTGGATGATACAACCAGTAAAAATAAATGCAAGGACCATGGGTCTCTTATATTACAATTAAATACTGACATTACTTAATTTAAAGAAGAGCAAAAATGTTCATTAATATTGGACTGAGAGTAAAACAAAACAAAAGGAGGACATGAATTAATTAAAAATGTGTTAAAGTATAGCAAATATTTCTATTTTTAAATCCCCTCAGTTCATGAAAACAGGCACATATTGTTAATTTTGCCACAATGTTCTTTGCTATATAATTAAAAGGTTAAGTGTGTAAAAATCATGTCCTTCATACATACCCTTATAAATCCAATCAAAATTCTTTTATAAAATAGAAAATTAAGGGATTGCAGGCATTTCATTGTTTAATAATCCAAGTACAATTATTTCAAAAGATTCACTTCTTTGGTAGAATAAATATGGAGTTAATAAAGAAATATAGTTTAATTTTATTTCCATGTTGATTTTTTTGCTTATGGCTTATTAGTGAATAAATATATTTTCAAGTGTTTGATAATAAAAGATAAAAGACTTCTGTCTTCATGTTATTTAGGTAAAAACAGGTCATAGTACTACAGATAAATCATATATCTACATAAAACACTAAAATGATTTTGGTTAGTAATTCAAATATAATTATAAGTATTCCTTTTAAGGAGCATTTTATTTCTCTAAAAAGCCTATACATGTTTGCATGTGAGTGTGTCTGTGTATTGGAAGTAATGCAAACATTGTCTCATAAATGATTGGAGTATTATGATTAATATTGAGTATTTTATTTTTACAAATATGCCCTTCATTTTTCTCTGAAGGTCTGAGTCTCAGGATGGCCAGATTAAATCCATTAACATGATTTTATTCTGACAGACTCAAGATAAATGGTCCTCTCACCCTGGTTTAAATGCTCTCACTTTGTGAGAAGTACAATAGCATAGAAAAATTCATAAAACTTAAGAGCACAGCAGCAATTTTTATTGGGCTCACCATATATAATTTATAATATATTTCTTTTCACTTTGAAAGAGTATTTTAATTTAAAAATATTACCTTCTTAGTTGGATTAGTCATTTCAATTTGAATTACCTAATCTTCTTGGGTGGTGGTTTTTTTGTGTGTGTTTTTGGTTTTGCTACAGATTGCCATTCTTTCAGTCATTTTCATATATACAAGTTCTGTCCAGAATGTATCCAGCCACATAATTTGAAAAGTAGAGACATTTATTGAAGATGTTACCAGATACAAGAAACATTGTACATAGGACAAGGATGTCTCAGTCCCTTTCAAAGGAGGCACCTTGGGACCTCACGCAGTTCTTTCAATCGCCATCAGCTGCCCTGATGTATTTTCCTGAATCTCATCAAGAGCCTGAAATCTCTTCCCTTTCAAAGGTAATTCTAGTTTTGGGAAAAACCAGAAGTCACAGGGCACCAAACCTAGGCTGTAGCAGGGCTGAGTCACCTGGGTGGTTTAGTGTTTCACAAAAATATTGTGCACTATACGTGATGCATGAAAGGGCGCATTGACATGATGAAGCTGCCAACCAGCTGCCCATAGCTGCGGTCTTCTGAATCATCTAATAGTTTCCACTGAGGAAAGTTCAAGCTTAATGCAAAATCTGATGCAGATTCACTGCTCTACTAGCCCAGCCATTCTGAATGTGACAGCCACACAGTACACATGCTCCCTCAACAGAGTCTACTCCCACTGTTCACTCCCACTGACTAGTACAGTGAAGTCATTATTGTTCACGCATGTGCATTCCAGTCCACCCTCCTTGGCTGCCAGGTTATATCGATGTCATGCAAACCATTCTCATTATATTAATAATGGCTGGACTTTTTACAGATAGAAATTTTATATGTATGTATGTATATGTGTATATATATATGTATGTATGTACACTGGTATACACACACACATACATATATATCCTTAAGGACCAGACAATAGCAAATGAATCTTTATGCTATTCATTAGTTTTAAAAAGTATAATGGGAATAAAGTTGGAGTTACACAGTTCATTATTTTAAGTACTATTGTCCCATATTATTCCATAAGGGACTGTCTCAATCCCTTAGCAAATAATGATAATGATGATAATAATAATAATAGTAATTATAATTGCCAGTTTACTA